GAGAGTATCTCTTGCTGCGAAAAGACACGATGACCACAGCAGCTCTTAGAAAGGAGAACATTTAATTGAGGGTGGCTTATAGGTTCACAGGATAGTCCATTATCTTTATGGCAGGAAGCATGGTGGCACACAGGCAGACATGGTGCTAGAGAAGTAGCTGGGACTTCTACATCTGCATGTGTAGGCCTCAGGAAGAGACAGAGACACTGGGCTTAGCTTGAGCTTCTGCCGCTTAAAGGTCCTCCCCCTATGACACACTTCCTCCAATGAGGTGATACCTACTCCATCAGGGCCACTTGTCCTAATCCTATCAAATAATGCCAGATCTTTTGTGTCTATGAGGCCATTCAAACTACCACGTTTTACATCCTGGACCCCATAGGATTCTGACCATATCATAATGCAAAACGCATTTATTCCAACTTCAACTGTCCCCATTGTCTGTAAGTCTCACATAACAGTGTTTAAAAACCTGAAGTTCAGAGACTCTTCTAAGACTCAAGGCAAACCTCTTAATGGTAACCCACTGTAAAATCAAAATCAGAATACTTCCAACATGCAAGGTCACAGGATATATATGGGAGAAAAGGGAGCGTAATGAAAAAATACTGGACCAAAGCAAGACTGAAAACCAGCTGGGCAAACTCCAAATTCTCATCTCCACGTCTGATGTCAAAGCGCTCTTCAGATCTCCAACTCCTTTCGGCTTTGTTGACTGCAACATACTACATTCTCTTGGGCTAGTTACACTTCCTACTGGCAGCTTTCCCCAGCAGCCATCCCATGACTCTGGCATTGCGAACATCTTGGAGTCTCTAGGACAGTTCTGGCTTCACATTCACAGCTGTATGCAATGGCCTATTTGGGCCTCCGTACAGGGACATCACCGACATATGTCTGGCCTCACTGGCTATCCTTAGTTGCAGAGGGAGATTCCAATACACACACCCTCCTCTTTTTTTTTTTTTTTTTTTTTTTGTATCCTTGACTCTAAAGTTAGAAACAAGTGGCAGAAGTTGCCAAGTTCTGCTGCTTTCTGGGCCTGGAGCACCCCCCACCCCACCCCATTCATCAGCTTTCTGCTTTCAATGTTTTCTTCACTGCCTAAGCTTGGCTGTCCTGGAACTCCTTCTGTAGATCAGGCTTGTTTTGAACTCAGAGATCTACTTGTCTTTGACTTCTGAATGCTGGGATTAAAGATGTGTGTGCCACCATATCTTTAAATGTTTCTTTAATTCAGGAAAAGTTTAGGTGGCCCTAAGCTTTTCTTTAATTCCTTTTCACAAGCTGGAAGCTTAGCTGGGTAGGGTCTTGGTTGGGGTCACCACTCTCTTTATTCAATTTCGCATGAGGCTTTTCTTTAATCTGTTTCTACTTCCTGGTGCCCCTTTTGCCCTGCAGACTATCAAAGCAGATGTTGAGACTTATGGCCAAACTTTGGGCAGAATGAAGGGAATCTTATGAAAGAAGTGGGAAATAATAGTTAGATCTGGAGAGGACAGGAGGTCCACAAGGAGAGCAACAGAACCAAAAAATTTGAGCACAGGGGTCTTTCTTGCGACTCATACTCCAACCAAGTACCATGCATGGAGATAACCTAGAACCAATGCACAAATGTAGCCCATGGCAGTTTAGTGTCCAAGTGGGTTCTATAGCAATGGGAACAGGGACTGTCTCTGACATGATCTGATTGGCCTGCTCTTTGATCACCTCCCCCTGAGGGGGGAGCAGCCTTACCAGGCCACAGAGGAAGACAATGCAGCCACTCCTGATGAGACCTAACAGACTACAATCAGAAGGAAGAAAAAGAAACCCTCCCCTACCAGTGGACTTGGGGAGGGGAGTGTGTGAAGAAAGGGAAGGAAGGGAGGGGTTGGGAGGGAAAGAGGGAGGGAACTAGAGGGGGGATACAAAGTATAATTAAAAAAAATAAAGTATAAAAAATTAATAAAGTATAATTTTAAAAACAACAACAACAACAACAAAAAAAACGAAAAAGCCCCTTTTCTTTTCAAACTGTGCATTTTATTTTATTTTTTTCTTGCGCAGCTTGCTCTTTTCATATAGATCTGTATAAGCACGGTTACTAATAACCAAGGAACACTGTCAAGACTTGGTTGTCTGGAAATCCCTTCAGCCAAAAGCTGTTAATACACAACTTTCCAATTTAGCTTCAGGAAGACCTTTCAAAGAAAGGCAAAAAGCAGCTATATATTCTTCACCAAAATACCATAAGAATTTGACTAGGCCAAATATTAATATTCTTCTCTGAAACCTCATAAACTGGACCTTCGTAGTTCAAATCATTCTCAGCACCATTGTCTTCCGTGTTCTTGCTAGAATGGCCCATTAAGTCCTGCTTAAAGCATTCAACTGCTTTTCTAATCTAAAGTCCACATTCTTCCAGGAAGAAACAAGGTCAGGCCTATCATGGTAACACCCTAGTCCTTGGGACCAACTTCACAAGTTATCACATACTCTGCTTTCAAAAGTTAACATTTGGTTATCCCCATAATAGTCATGCCACTATTACTCTAGAGAGCACATTTTTTTCTTTTCATCCAGGTAAACTCACACACAAAAAATGTCACACAGAAAAAGAAGACATAAATGTAGGAGAAGCAAGAGGATTTCAGTAGTAAAGAGACAAAAGAGAGAGTAATAAAACAAGTGAAATTTATTATGTATGTGTATGAAACCAGCAAAGAACATAAACACGAAGAAAGGTAAATAAATACACAGTTAAATTAACATGTGAGACCAGCATAAATGTACATATAAACCAACTGGATGGCTCAATTGCCTGTCAACAGGATTTTTTTTCAACATACTTTTTGGGGGCAATTAAATATTCATGAACAGAAGAAATAATTTGCATATGTTTCTGACACCATACTAATAATTTTCACTAAAATGGATTATGGGCATTAAGGTAGGGTACTAAAATTATATAGTTACAAATCTTCTAAGAGAAAACAAGTATAAACCTATGAATCTTGGATTAGAAATGTTTTCTTGATAAGATATGTAAGACATAAATATTAAAATGGTATAAATTTAAAAAACAATGAAAGAAAACATTTTGTTCTGCAGACAATAGTGTAGAGACAATGCCTGCTCTGCACAGAGTTGATGGGGGTAGACTTTGTTCTACTCTAAGCTCTAGGACGCAGCATGGGTAGATTTCAGGCAGTTACATGTAAGGAGGTCAGTGCTAATAGTCCTTTGCATATAGTGCCCCAGGTCCCATTTGACAAAAATGACTTGCTCCAGACTCTCGGAGAGAGAGATTATTATTTTTCTTGTTGCTGTGACAAATACCTAACAAAAGCAAGTTCAGGGAGCAAGGATTTAGCTTTAGCCACGGCTTCAGGAGATTTCTGTATTTCGTGACATGGCAAAGTAGCTCCATTGTGACAGGAACATTCACCTGGAGCACTCAAGGCTGTTCTACCAGGAAGCACAGAGAAAGACCAAAGTTAAGGAGGAACTATAAAATTCACAGACATGTACTAGAGCCCACTTATGCAGCCAAATCCTATATTTCAACCTTCAGAACAGTTATAGAAAATAGAAATCAAGAAATGGAACACAAGAGCTTGTGGGGAACCCTTCAAATCATGGCAGATAACTTCTCCACTTGCATAGGAAAACCCACAAATGTAGTCTGCTAAACTCCATCAAGCATGTCAGGTGAGGAGGGAAGAGTCTGAGGCTGAAGCATACCTTGAGAAGGAGAGACAGGCTCTGGAGCCCTGCCCAATAGTTCTTCAAGCTTGGGCACCTCTGGGTGTTTTCAGTAGCAGAACCAACAATTCTCATGCATTACTTTTTCAACACAGTTTTTGTTTTCTATATGTACAACTCAAAACATTCTAACCAATATGGACTCTCACTGTATGAAAATGTATATCTATACGCTGCAACACTGTCCAGTGAAATATCAGTATTTGTGTTTGGGAGGTATGGTTACCAGTAATTTTCATGTGCTTTGTGCTTTTTTGTAATTTTATCTTCTCTATAATGAAAATCAGCTATGTTAGCTTTCAGAACAAAATAAAATATGACAATAATTAGCGTGATCCTAATACTTATTTGCTAAGCCAAAACCATCAAAGTTTAATTCCAGATGGTGATAATCCAAATGACATAGGCTTCAAATAGAAGCTAATTTATAATTTGAGCTTTGAGAAATAGAGAACATCGTTAGTGTTCTCAAATAAGTTTATTGAATTTAAAACATCCTATTAGTTCAAGCTCCATGGACAGTGTCATCTGCACCAAAATAAATTGATTTTAGGTAGACTGATATTAAAACAGCAACTAGTATGTGGCATGGTGATAAAACAGTGGGTTTTTGTTTTGTTTTGTTTTTGTTTGTTTTGTCTTTCCCTTTTGTGCCTATTTGACCTCACATTATCTTTCTGAAACATACTTATCTCAGTTAAATACTATGAAATGATTCAGTTGGGCAAAATTTTATCAATAGTCTCTCCATCTATAATTCTATGGAAACCCCCAAATTAAGCTCATGTTGGAGCAGGATCAATGTTTATTATTACGCACAAGTAGAATCTAGATTTCATCATAACAGTGAGTGTTTGATGTAAGTTTTCTGCAAATGGGTGCCTGAGGGTCCCCATGAACTCAACCTGGAGAAGTATTGTGTACGGCTGTACATTAGCTATACCTTACAACCTACCCTGATGATGGTGGTGGGTTCAGCAGCACAATATCCAGAATCTTTTAATGAAACAACTGAGAAAGACTTGCCTTTAAGTACGTCTATTTCTTTTCTTCTATTCCCATAGCCCAGCAAGGGCAATGCTTGACAGCCACTGTGAGTTTGGAAGGAGATGTAAAAAGAGCCCTGATTTATAACTCCTTTGCTGATTTGCCAATGTCCTAAGAGCCTCATAGGGAAAGGGTTGGGCTGCCAGGAAGTGTGTGTGTTTGCAACCATGTTCACTTCTTGCTCCTGTCAAAATCATCCTCAACAGAGAACTTCGACAGAAACCTGTGAATAAAGATCAGTGTCCTGGAGACAGGCCAGAGCAGCCAGAGGCAGGAGGCATCCATCACTGCCACAGCAGCAACAAGGCCACAGAGAACAGGTCGAGCAAGCAAGTGCATGCTAAGTGGAGGCTCTGTGCTGCTTCAGCAATATGCTTCATCTTTATGCTGGCAGAGGCAGTGGGTGAGTGCTGCCCAGGAAAGCTCTTGCCTACCCTGCAAACTAGAGAAACCCTGCATCATGGTGGGAAGAACAACCAGGCTCTTATTTTAAAGAACTATGTAATGTTTCCTGCATGTTTAGAATGATAACAGGCACATGGTAGTCAAGTTGAAAAATAGAAGAAAAGAAGTCATTCAAATGATAACCTCTAATAACACCATAGAGTATTTCCTACAGCACATCTTCTGTGCATAGCTCGTGGATTTTTTTTTCTTTTACATTATTGAGACCATGCTGAATATTATTATCTATGCTATCAAATACTGTTTAAAATATTTTTTATGCCAAATGATACTTGCCACTATAATTCACATAAGCATTTCTATATTGTTAGACATTTAGGGAGATTTTTTTTTCCTGCTTCTACATTATACTTCAATGAAGAAAATCTTGATAAAATTATGCCTATACTTCTATTTAATCCCTTGAAAAGGATTCTTAAAATGGAAATAATTGAAGTAATTCATTGAAAGATGTGAATAATTTTCTTACTCCTTGAATCATTCTGTCAAAGCTATATCCAGACATATGAAATGATTCAACAGTATGGAGGATCCTCATAAAAGTGATTTTCCATCCAACTCTTTAAAAATCTTTGTTGCAACTGGAGAGATAGTTCAGTGGTTAAGAGCACTTGTTTTCAGAGGACTTGAGTTCAGTTCCCAGTATCCATGTTGGACAACTCACAACCACCTGTAAATACAGCTCTAAAGGGTCTGACACTCTCTTTTGAAACACACACACACACACACACGCACGTACACAAACACAATAAAGTCTTTGTTGATGTATATATGAGTCCTATAGTAGTCACTGCTTCAATTACTAGTTAGAATATTTTACACACTTATTAGTTGAAAGTGTTTAGTCCTGTATCATCTACTTCCATCTTATTGCTTTTTTTTTTGTCTTTTTACTTTTTCTATAATTTATTCACTTTATAATGTAACTGTAGCCCCCTTCCTCATCTCTTCCTGGTTCCATGGTCTCATCTTCCCTCTCTCTTCTTCCCCTACCTTCCTTCCCTAGTCCACTGAAAGGGGGAGTCCTATGCCCCTGCCATCTGACCCTAGCCTATCAAGTCTTATCAGGACTGCTGTGATCCTGTTCCTCTGTGGCCTGGGAAGGCCGTCCCACCAGAGGGACGGTGTGATCAAAGAGCAGGCAATGGAGTTCATGACAGAGGCAGACCCTGCTCCCCTTACTCGGGAACCCACATGGAGACTGAACTACCAATCTGATACATTTGAGTAGGTGGTCTACGTCTTCTCCATGCATGGTCCTTGGTGGTTGTATCAGTCTGCAGCGCCCCCTTAGCCCAACATTTTTGGCTTTGTTGGTCTTCTTGTGGAGCTCCTATCTCTTTCAGGTCCTTCTGTCTCCCCACTCTTCCACAAGACTTTCTGAGCTTTACCCAAAGTTTGGCTCTGTGAGTCTCAGCATCTGCTTCTATCTCCTGCTGGGTGGAGTCTTTCAGAGAAATTTATGGTAGGCGCCCATCCAGTTCCTTCTCTTCCACCGATTCCAGTGTCTATCCTGTTTGACATTCTGAATGAGAATTAAGCATCTTCCCTAGGGTTCTCCTTATTTTTTTAGCTTCTTTAGATCTGTGGATTTTAGTATAGATATCCTATTATTATAAGTGAGTATATACCATCTGTGTCTTTCTGGTTCTGCATTACCTCACTCAGAGATAATCTTCTCTAGTTTCATCCATTTGCCTGCAAATTTCATGACTTCCTTGTTTTTAATAGCTGAGTATTATTCTGTTGTGTAAATGTACCACAGTTTCTTTATCAATTCTTCGGTTGAGGGGCATCTAGGTTTATTTTCAGATTCTGACTATTACAAATAAAGTTGCTATGAACATAACTGAGGAAATGTCCTTGTTGCATAGTGGAACATCTTTTGGATATATACCTAGGTCTGGTATAGATGGGTCTTGAGGTAGTTCTATTCCCAGTTTTCTGAGAAAGCATCATATTGATTTCCAAAGTGGTTGGGCAAGTTTACATTCTCACCATCAATGGAGGAGGGTTCCCCTTATAACTGCATCCTCTCTGGAATGTGTTGTCACTTCAGATTTTTATCTTAATCATTCTGATGGGTGTAAGATGGAATCTCAATCATTTTGATTTGCATTTCCCTGATGATTAAGGATGATAAATGTTTCTCAGCCATTAGAGATTCCTCTATTGAGAATTCTCTAAACAGAAAATGTGCCCCATTTTTTAGTTGGATTATTTTGTTTGTTGGTGTTTAATTTTGTGAGTTCTTTATATATTCTGGATATTAGCCCTCTGTCGGATATAGGGTTGGTGAAGATCTTTTCTCAGTCTATAGGTTGTTGTTTTGTTCTGTTGACAGTGTCCTTTGCTTTACAGAAGCTTTTCAGTTTCATGAGGTCCCACTAATTAATTTTTGATCTTAGAGCCTGAGATGTTGGTGTTTAGGAAGTTGTCTTTTGTGGCAATGAGTTCAAGACTCTTTCCCACGTTTTTCTTCTGACAGATTTAGTATGTTTTGTTTTATGTTGAGTTCTTTGATCCACTCGGATTTTAATTTTGTGCAGAGTAATAAATAACGGTCTATTTGCGTTTTTCTACATGTAGACATCCAGTTAGACCAGTACCATTTGCTTTGAAGATACTACCTTTTTTCCATCATATGCTTTTGGCTTCTTTGTCAAAAATCAGATGTCTGTGTGTGTTTATTTCTGGGTCTTTGATTTGATTCCATTGATCCACCAGTCTGTCTCTATGCCAGTACCATGTAATTTTTATTACTCATGCTTTACAGCACAGCTTGAGATCAGAAATGGAGATATGTCCAAATGATCTTTTATTGTACAGGATTGTTTTAGCAATTCTGGGTTATTGTTGTTGTTTTTTTTTTTTTCATATGAATTTGAGAATTGTTCTTTTAAGGTCTGTATTTGCAGCTCATATAATAGTATACATGAGTGACCCCCAAAATTTTACCAGGGAACTCCTACAACTCATAAACACCTTCAGCAAAGTGGCTGGATACAAATTAAAGAAAAAAAAGAAAAAATCAGTAGCTTTCCTGTGTACAAAAGACAAAGAGGCAGAGAAAGAAATTAGGGAAACATCACCCTTCACAATTGCCACAAACAAACCGTAAAGTATCTTAGTGTAACTCTAACCAAGCAAATGAAAGACTTGTATGTAAAAATGTCAAGTCATTGAAGAAAGAAATTGAAGAAAATATCAGAAGATGGAAAGATTGTCCATGCTTATGGATCAGTAGGGTTAACATAGTAAAAATGGCCATCCTACCAAAAGCAATCTACAGATTCAGTGCAATTCCCATCAGAAAACATCTTATTGCCTTCTTAGTTGAGAATTTTTCAAATTATTTTATTTATTTCTTGGAACCACTTATGTTTTGTGATGTTAAGTCCAGGCTATAGTCTTTATAATTAATTTTTTAGTTTGTTGGTTGCCTTTTTATTTGTGCTTTGACTTGAAAAGATTAAAATTTTCTATAGGCAATTTAGGTTTTAAATAATGGTAAATATGACACTTTCACTCTGAGCTGATTTTTTTTTTACTTGATAATCTCTACCCATTTAGAGAATAAAGACATTTTAATACATTTTCTTCAGTTTTTTGCATGTAACTTTCACATCAATGTAAAATTAGATATTTTGCATTCAACAAAGACTAAAATACCTTTTCTAAACAGCTAAAAAGTTTTTCAACATCATGGTATAATTATTTTCCCATTGATATTTAATATATTTTATCATGTATTAACCTTTTATAAGTAACAAAGTGTTTCTGATTGTTCTTTGATCTGAGTTTCTATTCTCTGGCAGTAATATAATATGATTTAAACATTACAATATCTGTTGTCCCCTCTAATTATCAAAAAAGTACAATGGTTATTAATTTCTGTTTGTTAAATTAAACACAAACTCATTCTGTTCTTAACCAATCTAATTATGATATTATTGTCATGTGAGTTAACAGAAAAATATAAAATATATTTATTAATAACTAAAATTTAGCTGTAGTTTTCTGTCTTGATGCATTGTAAGCTTCTTGAGTCCTAGTTGCATGAGTTAATGTGTAAAACTGATTTTTAATAATTTTATTTTAATAAGTAAGCCATATGGTTTGTAGTCATCTCTTCTAGAGAACGTTTTAGCTGCTTTTTTAATTTGTACTTTAGCTTTTGTCTCATTCACTGGTAAACTCAAAATTTCTCCTTCTTCAGTACTTTTTTCTCTCCTATAGTTTTTCTAAAACCATTCACCTAATGGAAAATTTCAAAATTATTTCCTACAATGGGATGTGATGGCTTTCTCTTTGAGTTCCTCGGCTTGAAGCTTTCGGAATTCAGTGTTGTCTCATTTTTCCTCCAAATATGTAAAAGAAAAGTGTAAGTTACCTATACATGGGATGATGATTCCCTTTACAATTAAACAACTTCTCCATTGTTTAGCACTGCTTCCAATGTTTTAGGGACTCCTTTTCATTCCATTACCTAGAGGCAAACAGAAATAAGTAGAAAAAGAAGAATAGATGAAAATAGGTTCTACCTAGCTTCTTTTTGCACTGTAGTTTTTAGCTACCAAAACCAGCTATGTTTCTTCTGGCTGTGGAGTTTTCTCATATTTAGAATTTTAGAGCTTTTGAAAATCAGATTATGACTGTAGATCTATTAAGTGCAAAACAATTTGACACATAATTTTAGTCAAAATTTATAAAGAAGATCAGTACCACACAGTTTCTATACCAAAGCTATATCTTTTGAGGAAAGAGATTGAAAGTTTAAGTTGCAAAATAGTTTGCTTTAGGTAATAGGCAGTTCTGATCCAGAACACGCTCTTGAAAATCCACCAATATCTCACAAAAATGAACACACACACACACACACACACACACACACACACACACTGAGAGAGAGAGGGAGAGAGAGAGAAGGATACAATG